AATACTGAACAAATCTTTCAGGTCAGTGGCCATGATTGACAAACCAAATTTTCTAGATAATTTATTCTTTGTCCACTCCCATACATCTCTAGCTGTTCCACACATTGTTAGTCTATGCGATATGCTATCAGTTACATTACATTTATTGCAATCTTCGCTCATTCTTAACCCATGTGCTTTGAGTTTTTCGTTAACTGGATAAATTTCATTTATTGCTTTATATACAGCAGACACCCATTTTGTTGAGATATCAGAATTTCCCAAAATATTTGACCAGATACGAGTCCAATTATATTGCGGCCATTTGATCTCTATCGTAGGAGTCATTATCCTTTCTTCCATGACTGTTCGATAAATTGTTTTAGCTGTCTTGACTGTATCTTTGGAGAATTGAAAATCAAACTCTCTTATAATCTTCGCGATATTTTTGATCAATGGGTGAATGTCATTATGATTGTCCTCAAAAATATTATTGATTAACGATTTATAGACTATTTTGTTTCCCACATTCGTCCAAGATAAAGCTTGTGTTTTCAGAAAGAGTGCCAATGCTTTTTTATCGATATTTATTAAATTTAACCCTCCTTTATTATGAGGTAAGTATAACTGTTCTCTAGATACCCTGTACAAATTTCCCTGCCATATATAGTTCCCTGTTAAGAACCATTCTTTGACTGTATTTTCTAGGTAGTGGTATAACCTGTGCCAGAAACCAGACCTTTGACAAGACATATATATTAACAAACCAGATCTTTCTGATCAAATCTAGATCCCTGACATGACTGAACATTAATGTTAGGTTTATATTTTGAATCACCTTTTGCCAGTTTGCGTTCACCATATCTCTAAAGTTATTTGAAACAATCAACCCCAAGATTTGTATTTCCTTTTTTATAGGGAAATTACTAATGAAACTCTGTTGTATTGTCGTCATTTTTCCAAGAGGTATAATTGCCGATTTATTAAAATTTATTTTCGCATTGGCTCCATTTTCATAAATTTTTATTATTCTATCAATATTTTTAACATCTGTTTCATCTTCAATATATAAGGTCACGTCATCCGCATAAGATGAAATTTTTCTTACAGTTTCATTAATGTTGATTCCTTTCATAACAAAATCAGCTAGTCTTATGAAAGGTTCTATTGAAATACTAAAAAGTGTCATTGACATTGGGCAGCCTTGTCTGATCGAGCTATTGATATTGAAACCATTTGACAAAAAACCATTGAGTAGAATTTTTGAATTGGCAGTCTTATATAAATTCCTGAAAAGAGTTATTATTTTTTCATTGAATCCCATTGCCTCCATTACTGCCCATAAGTATTTATGGTTTACCCTGTCAAAAGCTTGTTTGAAATCAAGAGACAAAATTGCACCGGACTTTCGTTTTTCTTTCTCAAAGTAGAGCACTGTATCCCGGGTTTGCATTAAGTTATTAAATATAGATGTATTGTTGCCAGCTGTTTGTTCTGATCCAAAGATCGTCCTACTACTGATATTATTTAATCGAGATGCCATAATTTTCATAAGCAGTTTGTAATCAGAGTTGAGGAGTGTAATTGGTCTAAAATCTCTCAGTTCTTTTGCGTTTTTCACCTTTGGTATGAGCGTTATAACTGCTTCCGCAAATTCTTTCGGGGGCAATGACAGACCAGACAGAAACGAGTTGAAGAGTTTTGTCAGGTTCGAGCCTATCTCGTCAAAGAATATCGTGTAAAATTCGTATGAGAGTCCATCTATGCCTGGTGTTTTTTTCTTAGAAGCCTCCAGGAGCACTGTCTTGAGTTCTTCTAAGCTTATCTCATTTTCTAATCTTATACTGTCGTGTGCTGGAATTTTGTTTTTAATATATGCTAGAAGGCATCTCATATCTCTATCGTTCACTTGTCATTCTTGAAATTTTTTTGCATAAAAATTATTAGCATGTCTGATCATTTCCTTCGAGTTTGTGAGCAGGTTGCCATTTTCTGTTTTCAAAGATGAAATAATTGAATTTTTGTTTTTTCTTTGTTTCATAATGTCGTATAAACTATATCTATCATTCACTTCGCTATTGATTTTGTTATTGTACCTAGCATTCAGTTGTTTCTGTTTGAGATGCAGTATTGTGTTTTAATCTCTCTGTATTCATTTATAACATTTTCACCATTACTCAATTTCCCGTTTGTTTCAAATGAAGCTTCTTGATAGAATTCTATCAAATTCCTACTCTCAATAGCCTCATTGATTTCGATGTTTTTAAAGAAAGCCTTACCTCTGTTTTTGAAAATTCCAAACCACCATCCATTTAAATTTTCGTTGTATTTTTTATTATTTTTGAGATATGTGATTTTTTTTTTGAAATTTTCAATATCCTCCTCGGAAAAACAAGAACGTTTTATTTTCCAAAAACCCCATCCGTGATTTGTGACGTGTACTTTATCATTTGGATTTAACTTGAAATTTACAATGACCGAATTATGATCCGAGAAGGCTACCGGTTTTATTTCACATCTGTGAATTAAGCTTTTATCTTCTTGGGTGATATATATTCTATCTATCCTAGATGCAGTATTTTCTCTAACATAGGTATACTCGATTTTATTCTTTTGCATCAAATTCCATGTATCTGTCAATCTGAGCCCTTGCACTAAGTTTAGCAAAGTTTTACATATATTCGTTTGGTTACGTGCCTGATTTTTGTGTATTACAGCATTGAAATCACCTAGTAAGAACAAGGGAAGATTACAATTCAAGTGCATGGTGATATCGTTTTGAAAAAAGTTTTTTCTCTCATTATAGTTTTGTGATCCGGATGGCGCATAAAGATTTATATATCTGATATTATTGATTGTGGCTGATATTAGTCTCCCGTTCATTGAACACGAAACATCTTTTATATCAAACCCGTTTCTGTAAATTATGCCTGTTCCTCTTTGTGAATTCCCTACATTACTCAGCATTGAATATCCAAATATGTTGTTCAAGACTTCCGTATTCAATTCTTGAACGAAAAGTAAGTCAATATCATTTTTCTTAATGAAATCATACAAGAGACTTTGTTTTGCTGGGTTTTTCAGTCCATTACAATTAATGGTAGCTATAGTTTGTAAATGTGACATGATATATGATCGCAAAAGAAATTGATATCTAATTCTATATATCATATAGTCATAACTGTCAAGCCAGATCGAAAGAAGAAACAAATATGAAATATATTTTCAGTTATACGGTTATATTCAAAATACAGTAAGTCCCTAAACACTCACTCAGAAAAATGGATCTTTTTCCCTTGACCTTTCGCCTATATCTATATTCCCAAAATTTCCTCCATGTGGTGTCTCGTTACCATTTGAGCTCCTTCCGGCTTTAGGTGGAAGTTTGATGGTCAGTTTTGGTACCTTTCTTTCTTCTTCAGAACTCGTTTCCATTTCCTCTCACTTCTTTTTCTTCAGTCCAGTATTTTTCGTTTTAACTTCTTGCCACTTTTGTGTAGGTGAAATGATATCACCAATAGTATCACTTTCTAACTCTGAATCCAAACTTTCTTCACTTTTTTCCTTTTCCTCCTCCTCATGATGCCCTTCTTCATTATTCACTATCACATCTATAGCTTGTGTAAGCTGTGTTTCCGGAATTTCTAACTGACTGATTTCATTAATCCTATTCGTTATTCTCCTCGGACAGTATTTTCTTTCATGACCAGGTTCTTCACATATCATACAGGTACGCACCTGATTGGCATATGTTATCAGAGAGGTACACCCCTCTATGGTAATATACGATGGTATTGGTTTTTTCATTGATATTCACATCGATCGGATTCCGGTTTCCACATTAAATAGACCTTCTCCAGCATATTTTTCATTTCTCATGCTCCTCACAACTCCGTACAGTGACATTTTCTCCTTGATTTTATTATTTTCAAGTTCCAAAGGGAAGTCGAAAATTTTTATTAGTATATCATCGGTATCTTCTGTTATGTATACATCAAACTCTTCTCCATCTTCAACGTATTTAACTATACCATCCTTGAACTTTTGTAGGATTGCCTGCATCTGCCAATTGGATACCAGCTTCAGGAAAATTTTGTGCTTGACATGATCGAACTGGATTCCCACTATTTGATCCACCGTACATTTGAGCACATTTTTGATCCACATATGCAGATTTGTATTCGATGGTTTCTTCTTAACATTTTTAAAATTTAATGTTAGCGTGTTGACTCTTCTAATCACCATGATGATTCACTTATGATTCACTTTTGTTTCGCTCTTATCGCGTAATACACGTCTGTACTCAACGATGTCTTATGCGTGACTGTGTTTGATAACAGAATGAGATAATTGGTGATAAATTGAAAAAATAGCACTCCGTAACGAAAAATTTCTGAACGGGAAAAAATCACAACAAAGAAAACGAGTCAATCATCATCCGGCAAACATAATATGGACGCCATTTTGAAACTAATGTTCCTGTGCCTGCAACGCCTGCGCACTATCACAGATCACGGATCATTATGTCAAAAGGACATTTATTGTTTGGTAGTTGAACTAATGATATTGTTCGAGGTCATCCTATCTACTTGGAGGTCTATAGAGTGTAGTTTATTTATGTCTGCGATTATGAGATGAGCAGTTCCAATAATCACAGACGTTCTCCATGTGAGGCGTAAAATGTTCACGTGTAGTTTTATCAGCATTTCATTTGCAGGGTTATATTTCAGTGATGTTAGCAAAAATCGTTTGATAAATTCTAACAAGCCAAAAAATTTGTATATACCATAATATGTTCAATATCGATGAAATAAGTATTCGACTTCTCAGAAAAAGAGATATACAGTCAGATATAATGTTGACAATAAGAATATATCTGGAAATTCCCTACACTCACACTGCATAAATAGATATATGATTGAATATGTTCGAAATGTTCCCACCTATCATATCCTTTCAGACATGCGTCGATGAACCAAGCACACTGTATACAAGTTTCCTAAACTTTTTTTCCATTACAGGTGTACCAGGCAAAAGGAACGAAATCTTCTACAACTGTTGTCCAGAGCCATACATAGACATCACCTTTGTCATCATCATACGCAGGCGTACTCTCTATTACTTCTTCAATCTCATCGTACCCTGCGTCCTAATCGCTTCGATGGCAGTTTTGGGTTTCACTTTACCACCAGATTCCGGAGAAAAGCTATCTCTGGGAGTGACAATTCTACTGTCTCTCACTGTCTTCCTCAATATGGTGGCAGAGACGATGCCTGCCACCTCGGATGCAGTTCCCCTCCTAGGAACTTACTTCAACTGCATCATGTTCATGGTTGCTTCCTCGGTTGTTTCCACTATACTGATTCTCAACTACCATCACCGCAATTCTGATACGCACGAGATGTCGCAATGGGTAAGCCGTGAAAAATATTTAATTTTGTTTTACGTATCATAGGATCGAAGCTAACAAAACAAACAATCTAACTCACCGATCCCTGTCTGCTCCGTTGATCTAATGACAAATGAAAATTTGACCTCAGCGGCACCATTTTGTCTCCTCGCTCATGGTCGTTACCACCGATACAACAAGGCCAGCAGACTCTGACGTAAACAGCTCGTGACGTCACCAAGAGAGGCCAGTGTTTTTATCGCTTGTCGACTAACGCGTCAGTTCGTGTTAATTCATAGGTGATTCACGTATGCTTTTGAAACGGTCCCGAATTCTTTTGTTGTTTATTCATCAAAATAATTGGCGAAAAAATTACTGTTTCGTGAAATATTTTGTGTTGTGATCGGCGAAATAACAATGCCTTTCAAGTGTTGTGTTCCCTTTTGTCGGGGGAATTATGTGGGTGGTTCAAAAGTTCATGCTTTTAGTTTCCCGTTGGACGAGGAGCTATCGAAAATGTGGGTAAGTATATGCAATTCACCTCGGGGATTTTACTCCATCTAAGTATCTAAGTTCAGTAGTAAACAGAGTCTAATTTAAAATGATGAATTAATAATAGAAGACAATTACTCTCTCATAAAAAGTAGCTCTGCTATGAATTTTTCATGCGCAGATATTGAATCCTGCCTCTTGTTAGGTTTTCTGTACTTGTATGTATAACCTCTCAATAAAAGCATTTATTATTATTATTATTATAAGTAGAGGAAAAATAGAAGAGCTTTGATTGTCCAGTTAATTTTGTATTCGTAAATTATAGTCAACAAAATCATCTCTGGATTCGAGGAAATTTTCTTGAATGTTCATAATAAACGGGCATTTTTAATTCTCATTCTCAAATTTCTTTCTGAGAACGGTCATTTGCCTCGTGGCAATGAATGCAGAATCCACTCCAATGATCAAATTGCAACTATCATATTAACATGAACTACAAATACTCTACTCAAAAAAATAAAACTGCATTTATCATGATATTTATCATGAAGATATTTGACTGAAAAGTTTCAAATTTCACCTTCTTTTTCACCTGTCTTCTGGATGGCATTTAGTACAAATTTTTCTTCTTTTTTCATCATATTGGACAATTTATATATAATTTAACTATAAATATGATTTTCTTGAGATTAATCCATATTTAGTGAAAAGAAGGAAGAATATCATTCAAAATAGTGGCGTGTGTAATTTCATTCGAAAGCAATCTATTGACATTTGACATCTCGTATTTTGATTGACTATTGATTAAATGGTCGTCATCTGGAATGCTTGTTCACTAAATATGAAGAACTCGCATTAAAAATCATATTTCCTGTTGAATTTTCTATATAAAAATGTGCCATCGAAGTACATCATGAGTATATAAAGTGTCCAATGACAAAATAAGAGCAAGTAGCTTCAAATGCCCCCAACACAAGGAGAGAAAGAAGGCGAAATTTCGAACTTTTTCTTGAAATATCTCAATAAATAGTGGTTTGTTCACATTTTCATTATAAAATTCGGTTCATCAGACAAAAATACGTGAGTACCAAAAAAAAACCATCGCATGATAAATGCAGTTTTACCCTTAAAAATTACGGTTTCAAGTGTAACGATCCACTTGGGTGAAAAATCCAACAACAGAAAATTGAAAACACTCACTGATTATTTTTTCAGGTAATAGGAAGTCTCCAAGATAAATATAGGTAATTGTAACAAACGGCATGTCAATCAAAATAAAATACATTTTCCACAATTTTCTTTCGATCGATCTCACGATAAGTTTTTGTTCTGCGGGCCCTGTATAAGTAGGTGTGAAGTTTACCTTCGCAACAATTTTTGCCAATATATTTAATTCGAATGGGTTGCTGTTGGTGGATATTTGTGTTTTATCCTGGTTTTTGCTTTAAAACTTCGTTTTTCCATAATAAAATCGGATGGGGTGCGAAGAAGGGCTCAGTTGACGACTGGCATCCTTTTTTAACCGGAAGCCCTTCAAAAAACAGCAAAATCGGCTCAATGATGATCTAAAACTAAAATCGAAATACGCGGTCGCCTTATAGCGCTATAATAATCGCTTGTCGTTTCGAGCCGCTGGTTAGGCCTGACTAAGTGACGTCACCCACGGAGCATGCAGGCCTTGTTGTATCGGTGGTAACGTCATGGTCGGATATCAATCAGACGATACAAAAAATATCATCAAATGTTTCTCAAATACCTACTCTATTGAACTGCAGGAAAAATAATGTACACAACTGAAGAATTCATTAATTATCAATTTGTGTCCGTTGATATTCATGAAATTTTGGTTCAAATCAAAATCAAATCAAATCACTTTATTTCTTTTAGACAAAATACAATTGTATGAGAAAGAGTCAGTATGGAACCGCATGGTAGTACGGTAGGTATTTATAAAATGAATCAACAATGATGATTTTGATGGTGTAGTACCTACATTCCTGTCATCTATGCTATTATAATTTGAGCATCAAAGTTTTGAGAAATTCTGTACGAAGGTAAATATACGGGTTTGTTCCACATTCATCGAAAATTCTAATGCAGAATTTGGCGTATATGAATCGTTTACATTTTTTAAATTTCCAAATATAACTTTCAAGGGATTGATGACTGCTCTGAAGAATGAATGAAAGGATGAATCATCCAGTTCTTCAAGGGCATTGGATTCCAAATAGTTGGCACAAGTATAAATTTCTATTCATGAACAGAGTATGTCTGAGATTTGAAGTGATGAAAGCCTAGGGGAGATTCCACTGGAGAAAAATCTGAAAAAATATTGATATATGAACATGTGTCCGAAAATTTTTTGTTTTCCAGATATAGAGATAGAGTGTTGAGTTTTTTCAATGAGTGAGATTCTTATTAATAGCTTGAAGACGCTTTAGCCGAATCCAATGAAATATCAATGGTATCAGACATATACTGCACCATATACTGCACCAATCGAATTTGATATAGATTTTTCAGAGGTGTACCTACCTAGCAAGAACGTCGTTTCTTGCATAGAAATATTACTCAATAATAATTTTGCGATTTTAATCAATTATTCAAATAAACGCATTCCATTTGTTCTTCTACTAACAATGTGCCAAGGATATCGTATTGAGTTATTTTCGGAAACGAGGTGAGACCTTGAAATACATCAAACAACAAAATAGCTGTATTTTTATAGTGGTGTCATCTGAATAATTGATAGAAATCGAATAAACCTATATGGTCATATGTTTCAATGCAGATTACAACTTATTTCAATAGATATCTGAAAATTATTAGAATAAGCTGGTGGAAAGTTCTCTTCCAAGAAGAATTTGATCGTCTCTCGATAGTGTTTGAAGTATTCTGGTGCTTATAAACTGAGTGATTGTTGTTTCAAATCAACTATCAAATGAACAAACCATAGTGAGAGTCGAATCCATAGAATATTTTTAGTTTCTTGGTAATTTTCCTAGTGTACATATATTGTTCGTTACACAATCTTGTTTGAGGAGACAGAATTGTTTGAAAAAGTCCTGCCAAGCTGTTGAGTTCCGATAGCAGTACCCACATACATGTTTATACAGCACTTCATAGCTGAGAATGTTGCAAATGAAGTCCAGAATCAAACCTCTATATTAGTGTTCTGAAAACTTGATTCTAAGTGGTTTCGTTCGATTAAAGAAAAGAAAATATATTTATGATTAAACAAGGGCTTGATCCTGTTTGAGATATATTCATAGATATATTCATTTTTTTTTCCTGAACAATTTGGAAATATTGTCCAGTACCTATTCCTCAACTACTCTTGGAGAAACATTTGAGTTCTTTGCACAGAAACACTTCGTTCGAAGAGTTTGAAGCCATTACATGAAGACCCAAGAAGAATTGAGCAGGAGACGTGTGTGGGTATGTAAATGGAAAAAAAGGCAGGATTAATTTGATTCAAATATGGGGTTACCTATCTATCCATTGTGATACTTGAGTTTTGTTGCGAAGAAACACTTCTGCGAAAGCATTACATAAAAATCCAAAAAGAATTGAGCACAAAAAGTGTCTAGAAATATATTCACGAAAGAACATGAATCTAAATCGATGTGAATTATCAAGCACCTCCAGCATTTTGAATACAACTCATCTTTCTGAAGCGATCATGTAATCACTAAAACAACTATCCATCCAACATATTCGAGATTTCTACCCTTCATCATTATTTTGAAACAGAAGCAGGAAGAAGTAAAAAGTGATACGAAATAAAGAAGTGGAAATACTAGAATGAATCAAATGATCTGGTAGTGCTATTGGTGAAAAGCATTTCGGAAACTATATGAATTTGTGAATGTTTTGTGAGGTGTCTATTTCGCTTCTAGTGAAGAATGTTGATCAATGGCTCATATAGATGATTCGGTTTCGTAAATTATTATTTTTGAAACGATGAATTCACACATAGGATCCATATGGTACATGTTTTTTGATCAACTCCACTTCCAAATTTGACATTTCTGCGCCATCTTTTACTAATAATAATAATAATAACTCGTCTTTATTCATCCATAAAATTATAAAAGTGATATAGATGAAATGGCGAAGTGTCACCCGAGGGTGTTTTTCAACTTAACCATGATGTGTTAATTGATTATAAATACATTATAATGAATAATATTGAATTACATTATTTCTAGCTAAAACTATGATAATCTATCTAGCTATGTTTATAATACTATAGGTTTATATCGATATCAATATAATTGAATTAATGAATAGAATATAATATGTCAATAATTATCATCAATGAGCTAAGATACGTTACTGAAACACTGCATTTTGGTTCCTGTTTTTTTCCGAATAGAGGCATCGCCCAGAAACGGCCGTTAAGCAATTAACGGCTAGGTAATGTTGATAAGTCAATGCCATCCTTGGTGATCTACAGTATATCGAATGTCCTTTTCATAAATAATAATAATAATAATAATTATAATAATAATAATAATAATAATAATAAT